TATTATTATTATCATTCAGGAGGCCAAGTTCCAATGGGTTGGGGCCACACCCCACACATCAAAAAGGGCCCTTGTTTGGTTGTAATATAGATTTGGACAAATGCCTTATAAGCTGAAAGCTCACACGTAATTGTCACGTAAAAGGCTTGAACGTCTTCAACCATTTCCGTTCGGGTTGTTGTTGTTGTTGTTGTTTTTGACAGAGTCTTCGAAAAAAATCACAAACGACCGAACAGCTGAAAGTAAATATTGAGTGGGAGGTCCGTAATATGGATCCGGAAACATGTCTGAGGGTTATTCGAAGTTCCCAACATTTGTATAGAGAGGATTGATCAACACGTGGAGAATTTAAATAACAACTACCTTCTCAGAATTTATTTTTCATTATACATTTTGTATAAACTCTGTTCTTCAATGCACAGATAGTGGCTCTTTGAAAAAGAACATGGTTTATTTGTAAGAATCTGCAGTTTTGCGTTTTACCTAATTTTGACTGAAAAGTTTAAAATGTTACATTTTTCGAACAACATTATTGATCTTTTTAACGTTGAGAAAATATGATATTCACCTGGTTGAATTTTATTTGTTTGAAGCTTTGTTGAAATCAGTCTACAGATGACTGAGTTATTTAAATGAGCCCTTTAGTGTTTTGGACATCCTGTATTTAAACAGCTTGCTAAAGAAATATTAATCGAAGGAACATCATAACTCACCAGGAGCGACGGTTGTGGCGGCCGCCACAGTCTCTAGGTAACACACCTGGAAGACTCCCTTGCAAGCACCCTTCACAATAATCTTGTCTCCCCTGAAGGAAAATGTTTCTCCCTTCTGGCAAAGGCTGTAACCCCCTTTGCCGTAACCGCCGTGGCCGATAGATCTGACCAGATCCAAGCTTTGGATTTCTCCACCCACACTTTCCTCCTCGGCATGATCAACATACACCTTCCTGCACTTGGGCTCTGTGGAATATTTTCGAAAAATTAAAATGTTTGTGTTTTACGCCCCCATCGAAACAGGTTAAATCATTTAGGGGACGGACTTTGACCCTGCCAGTCACGGCATGTCCAGCAGAAACTCTGAGATGCTCGATACATTTCTTCACAAACAGGAATCAAAGTGGGGTCTTTTGTGTGCGACTACGAAGTGCTTAACTGTTATATCACAGACGCTTTGTCAACCTAGTAAGATCAGCTGTGGGGATCAATTCTTTTTATATCATATTATATTTGATACCTGCAATTCCGGTGAAATAAATCCTTATATGTTTCACTTGAAATATAAAGACTCGACATCTCACAAATGAAATATCAGCTGTAATCAAAATTTGCTATAAATTATTTCGGGCACTTCAGCGAGCCAATATATAGACTTGAATTGTAATATTCATAGACCGTGCAATATTATGGCAGCAATTCTTTGCTCTTTTAGCCATAGGCGGCCCAAATAAAATGGCAAACAACAGTGCCCAAGTCTCACTACAGTCAGTGGCGTCGGTGGCCTAGGGGTTATGTCACCGCACGCGTAGTCGTGAGATTGCGGGTCCGGGGGTTCGAGTCTAAGCTCGGTTCGACGCACTTTACACGAATTTCCCACTTGACTCGGTCCTTTCGGAGTTGGACATTAAACTCGGAAGTCCCGCCTCTTGAATAACCTAATAGTGTTGATAGGGGCGTTCAACGTATACCCATCTCATTTGTTCACTATAGTCAAGAGTATGCCCAGCCTTTCTTCGATGCCCTTAAATTTGCTCCAAATTGAGTGAAAAGATGCGAACAATAGTTAACAGAGATTTCGCCAGAGCGCAAATATGTATTATTAAAAAGCAATATACAAGTCTTGGCTAACAAGTTACTATTTTAACGACACCGTGGCAGATAAATGCAGCTTTTTAAATCGTTCATCCGTTGAATCATACGTTCTCTGTTTGTTTGCTTATGTTTAAGTTACTATTATTTTGTTTGGGATTTATTTCGCTGAGGGAGACATTTAATTTAATCAAAGACTAAAGAATCACGGTTTTGGGTATAATAATAATATGTAATTAATGTGGCTGGGGGGGGGGGGGGGATAAAAAGTCCATTTTTTTCTAATTTTCGCTTTCACTCAAACGGGCTTGAAAATGTTGTTTTTATAATATGAGACTATTTTTGAGTGGAGCTGCTTGACTGCTGAATTTTGCCGGTTCGGATCTATATCGTAGCATATATCAGCTTGGTACTAAAAAATTTAAAGATTCTTGTGAAATTGCAAGTTGTAATCATATGTTGAAACTCTTGATTACAATTTGATAATTTAACTCATAGGATAAATCCTGATCTACCTCCAGTAATATGTTCTTTTAAAAAATACTTTTAAAAGCACAAGCATTGCTAATTAACAGACGTCAGTTGCATTGTATTGTTCTAATTGTTTTTTACTTTTAAGTTATTTGCTGGTATATTGAGGGTTCTTTGTGATAATCAGTGATGACTGTTTGATGAACTGAATATTCTTAGGTTTGGAGTTTCTAAAAAGCCAAAAATGACGGCATTAAAGCAAGGCACATAATAAACATGTTGCCCACTCATCGAAGAACGTATAAAGAAGCAACAGAAATTCTTAACAGTTTCACTTGACATTTGTTGGGAGATTACATTAATGTGCGGGCTAGTTTTGCCACTAAAATGTCCGGTGAGCAGTGACATTGGCCATAACAATTATGCCAAAAATGTGAGTGGGAAGCGGGAAGAGCTGTGAAACAAATTGATGCAAAACTCCTGCGCACAATATGGGTGAGATAGATTCTTATCATTATGTATAAAGATCGTTATTGATGAGTTGAGCCGCGATTTTTTCGCCACAAAATCGTCAAACAGCGTAAATTATCATAAATTGTGCACATTCAGGCAATTGAGTTCTGTATTTCAATGAGCAAAGGCACTTATTCCGTAAAGGCTTAGATTTTCGCATGGAAAAATATTCCTGGTCGTCAATAACATTTCAAACCCATATGAACATTTCCAGTGAAAATAGGTCAAGAGATAACTATAACGGTGCAAATGTGAGCACAAGAAAGTTAGCAAACTATGTATATAGTATAGATATTTTACAGGCCCGCAATCCACATCAATGGGCACTTTCCCTCTGAATCAACTTCTTCATACTATATCTCTCAAATTCCATGGGGATGGATGGCACGTGCTTTGATGAGGTTTATTCCTTCCTTCCTATTAAAAATCTACTGCCCTTTTTTCGCTCCTTTTTTTGTATGTTACTATCTAGTATTACGCCATCAATCGTATTATGTTGCAAGTGCCAGAAAACTATCATTAAAATTAAACTAGCCTGCCACATACCATTTCATAATCTCTGTCGCATCTGGGAGAAATCGAACAAGGGAGAGTCTTAATCAAGAACAGTATTTTACCTGGTGCAAGAGTGGTCGCTGGGGCTGTTGTCTTAGGCAGTTCATAGCACACCTTGAACAGTCCTGCGCAAGGCCTGATTAGCTTGAGCCTGTTCCCCTTAATTTTGTAGTCATCTTCGTCCACGCAGGCACCAGCGATGTGCACTTTCTTATTCATCAGTGTTGCGCTCACCACGGGTCCGGGGAAGAACTTCCTGTTCTCGTGTTTCACGAAGACCCTCTCGCATTTGGTGTCATCCGCTGTGAGCAAATGATACAGTATGATACCCTTGTCACCAATTGTAATGCTGCGCTCGTTTGCCCAAAATAGAAAGGAAAATATTATCTCATTATACGCATTAACCAACATGAAAGAGAAAGAATTCTTCTTTTATGGCATTGTGTATTGATACTTTCTAAACCAGACATGGGCCAGTTGCGGCCTTCGGTCAGTTTCAGTCTGGCCTTCGAGTCTACTCAGAAATTAATAAGTTAATGCATATAGTCAGTATTATTAATAATTATAAGCGATAGTTTCCGGCCCATCTAGAAGTAATAGAAGTATTATTATATGGCATATAAATGCCCTTGAGTGACACATTATGTTATGGTGTCAGTTACGTTTCGCTATTGAGAGCGTGGGTTTTCAACCGAATCTACTCAAGTTTCTCCTGCCTTCATCAAGAACGCGAAGTATTCAGAATCACTTAACCCGGACCCGCGACTTGAACACGCTAGTCCATGCCTGTTCTGATTGAACGAAGTTGAAAACCTTGTACAAAACCCTCGTGCGTCAAGACAGGGAGATGGGTCTCTATATTTTGTTTTCCATTCGACTCTCATCTCACTGTTCACAACGTACTCATATAAAATAATCTTGGTCTTGAACGCCCTTTAACTATTCTAATAAACATTGAATTTCGTTGACATTGGTAAATAAATCTGTTCTGATTTTGTCGGCGTTCATAATTAATATCTGTATACAAAAAACGGAAGAGTGTAAGCTAACTAACTAAATAGATCTAAAGAATTCCCTTGAGTAATCCTAATATTTTCAATTATAGTTTTCAGTCATCCATGGTTCTACCTTGTCTAGGCAACCAAAGTGTGTCTAGCTCTGCATAGCGCTGCTCTCTATAAACGTATATCAACAGACGGACCGAAAAGACCAAACAGAATACGCTAGCCTTCTTATCCAGTGAGACAAAGTGGGCCTTAAGCGATTTCCAGCAAAAACAAATTGCAGTTAAACAGGAATGGGTAGATTTCTTTTTGTGATTTGAAAACGAAAAGAAAAAGAAATGATAGCTGTTCAAGCAAAGGTATATTTAGGACCTCTTTCAAAATTAATTATTGCAAGTTGATGCTCACTTTAAAACAGTAAAAAGAACTCCATTGTTATTATGGTAATCGTGAGTGAAAGAGCTCTCGCTTTCTGTGTAAAAAGAAAACAGATTATCAATAAACCTCCTATTAAAACATTATAGACAGAATTGATTCAGTGCTGACTTACATTTTACGTAGTATCCCTTTCGAGTACAGAACAATGCTGCAGGTAGTTCAGTTAACGTGGGACGGAAGCACAGCGCCCTTACTATTAACTCAATTTGGTTTAAAATTAGTGTTAAAATTGGAATGCCAGAGCAAATGCAACGCACATGATAACTGTCAACAGCGTATATACATATCAACTCAATGTGGCTTAAATATAGCCATATAAAACCTTTCAAAGGGGGGGGGGGGGGGGGGGGGGGGGCTACACCCCAAAAGTCCCGATTCGGCTCAGAATTATAGATTTTGAGTTGTAGGCATTTTTAGCTTCTTCAGCCTCCCTCTCTTACAACTATTTCATAGCATTAGAACCCCCTAATGCCTTATTTCTTCCTATACCGGGCATGTTTGTCACCACCTTTTCCTCATAAAGTCATTCTTTTATTTTTCTTTATCGCCCGTTTTCTCAAAACGCGGTTTTTATATACTTTTTTAGTAACTCCACCATTTTTCACCCAATCTTCAGGAAATGTTCACAGAACGAAGAGAAAATGTAATACAAAAAATTTGATCGTTGAATTTTTCATAAACGGAATAGATTTTTGTTGGTGGTGTCTGGAGTGTGGATTTTCACGGATTCTTTTTCAAACTTGAATACTACCTGATGAAAAAAAATCATAAAAGATTTCCTAATTCGTTAAGGAAAAATACATATGACAAATTTGTAGATCTAATGTTTGCTAACATGCATGCAACCCCCCCCCCCTCCCCAATCTATTTCCATGAAAAATAAGAGCAGTAGTCATTACGTAGGACATGTCAATAAAATCCAATATGGCCGCGGTAGCTATGGAACCGATACTTTTTTTCTCACATACGATTGCGGATTTTAAGCTCCTTACTATCCTTGTTATATGTGCGAATGTTGTAAAATTTGATCCACTAATAAGCAAGATAGGCCTCAGGTGTAGCCCCCCCCCCCCCCCCCCCAAGCACACTTTTTGAATAAAGATTTCAAATTGATTTATCAAATGAGTAAAGGATAATATAACTGTCACATGTTTAACACATACCTGAAAATGTCTTCCTTTTATTAGGCATTTAGAGATCCCTTTGAAATCTCATAGAATATTTTTCCCCACTAGTTTGAATACGAATTTTTTATATATTTTTTAGATTGAACACCCTTTTCGCTGCAGATCCATATTTGTTTTGTTACATTTTTAGCAATGTTACTTTACTTCAGGCGCATAGGTCGCTCTTTTAACATCATGCTGTATTATTGGCAAATAAAACCTGTCACGTTCCTATTTGTAACTGTTCCCTAATTCCCGTGAGTCAGTGAGTGAAATTTCACACATCATACCCAACATTGATTCTGCGCTGATTTTTTTCATGGACAAAATTTTACCCACGTCCAATGGCGAAGCGTCTATATAATCAAATAATCACTGCTTCCATTCCTAATTTTGAAACATTGTCGCTGTCAAATTCACCCATAAACTTAAACCTCATAAATTAAATGTAAAAAGACCTTCATAATCACCCATGAACAGTATGCCTAACATTCAAAAAGTTTCACTGCCACATAAATAGCCTGCTCACCCCTCTCGGGCCACTCCATAAGCAGTCACAAGCTCTGATTAAGTAAAGCTTAATGTGAGGCTGGAAGAGCCTACCAATAGAGTTGAAGGGAACATGTGCATATCAGTCAGAACTGTTTCATTGCGACAAATACTTTGTTCACCCCTTTGGGGCCACAGTTATAAGCAGTCGCAAACTCTGATTATGTAAGCTAACTATTACACTGGTCGAGTCTACCTCACAAATGTGAAGGGAACTAACTCCTAATAATCTCTTGACTGCTGCAAGTGCTTGTTTTTTTTTCCTCGACTTTTTACCGTTCTATAATCAGATCGTGACCTCGAATATGACACCGCCTCCTGACCGCGGAAGGCTAAACAAAAACAGCCAAATGTGATATTTAAAAAAAAATTATGATTGACATGTTCTATCAAAGAGTTAGCCTCACTGGTATATCTATAACATATAGATCTAATACTGACATCTCTGCTTCTTTGCTTTGTGTTTGTGTATTCACATCTAAAGTTTAATTTAATTTTAGTTGGAACTGATATTTAATAAGATACTTTCCCGATTATTTTGGCGGTTGAACACACAATATGAATTCCGGATTTGTTTTCATTCACAACTCAGAGTCGCCGCCTCGAGTAAGATTCTTGTGTGATATCTCCAAACCATATGTGGTCCTGTTTCACTTTGATTACTCTGTCAAACAAGTCAGCCTTCGCCCCTGCCCACGTCATCACGAGAACCTCGTGAAAATTAATATATTTTGACATTAAAGTCATGTTGAAATTATGAAATGGTCAAAGTAATCCAATCAATACAATAACGATTTTAGAATTTAAAAAAAAATCAAGTTGCATAAACATTCAAGCCCTTTTTCTTTTGGGTTTCTTATGATGCGAGACGTCAAAATTAAACCTCAAGGGGGGCTAAGGAGTATTTGATTGCTCCAAGTTCGACTATTTGCACGTTGAGTGGGGCCTAGAATATCGAGGATGCTTCCATGCTCCGAATCCTTTCACCAATAACCTGAGAGACAGGCTCCAAGTCACTGGCAGACCCAGGCTTGGCAAGCCACGAGTCACTACTGCCCAAAAAGACAGACAAATATTGATTTGTCATCCTCGAATATCGATTTATTATAACGACCAGCCTTTTAAGTAGATTTTGTATTGACACTGGAAGAGTTATCAGCAATAGCACTATACAAGGAAGATTAAATACGTTCGAACATCGACCAAGGCCGACCAACAATGGTCAACCTTTGGCAAAATTCAAAAGTACAATTGCACTTGAAAAGTGCAAAAAGTCATATTTTTCAACTTTTTCCATTGGGGTGGAGTCAGCCTTGAGAGAGTTTGGATACGCCATGGAGAGAGACTAGCAAACTGCTGCACACATGAAGTAGATGGATGGGTCGGTGGCAGTGTGGTGATGTGGGGAAGAACATCTTCTAACCACAGAACCCAGCTCCACATTTCCAACGCTATAGTCACTGCCTAAGAGAACAGATTTTTGTCCAGACATACATGGTTCCCTCCTTTTCAAACCCATAGACACAAGTACATATTCCAACAAAACAATGCTCTCTTAAACGACGACTGTGAAGATATGCACTATATACAGCAGCAAGCTGTGAATGTTTTGCCATGGCCAGCACACTCGACAGACATGTCACCCATTGTACATGTACCCCTTTAGAATCAGTAGAACCAAAAAGTGAGTGCACGAAATGACATCTACAATGTATGGTATCTGGGACAAGCATACGTATAAGAGTGAAACAGACTACACAACAGTCAGTACGAACACAGACGCAATTAGTGCTTAGAAGATGTTGAGCCTGCATCACTGCAAGGGGCGGCCCCTCTCGTTACTGGCGAAACGTTTTGAAATCAAGGGGTACCAGCCTGTGCTTAACACTGAGTCACAATATGAGTCATGATCAAGAAACAAAAGGTTATGCACTTATTGAAATACTTTGAAATATATTTGAGTCAATTTTTGGTTCTATAATTAGTTGAATTATAAGCATAATGCAGGTTTTTTTTCAAGTGGAAAGGTTCTAACGTACATTATTTAGGACTCCCTAGCATGTCCTGACCTCCGTAGCGTGTCCGTGTCCGAGTTGGTCTCCGTAGCGTGTCCTTTTCTTATTTTACAGACACTGTTTCCACTTT